AATAATTCGGGACGATTTTTGAAAATTACGTCTTTGAAAGTTGCTTCTCTTTTTCATTTATTTAAAGTAAACTATTAATCGTGCTTGTTACTTATTGGTGACGAAATAATAAATTAAGAGTCTTAACTATATAAATGGATAAAACAGTTTCTTTTTATATCAATGAGTTATTCTCCAGTGGATTTCATTTTAATTTAAAATTTAAAATGTTCTTTAATTTGAAAATTTTGTTATTATATAAAGAACCATCATCAAATCAAACGTATAATAAATTTCGATCATACCGCAAGCATATATCAAAAATTGTTAGTAGTATTTAAAGATACTGAAATAAAATTGTGTGACAAATTTAACTTCTTGAAACCGAAAAATTGTATAGAGCTTGTACATACAAATGTTTTATTAGATTTATATAATTTTTGCTGTTTTTTATAATTGCAAAAGTGGACAGAAATTTTTCGTATTCTCTTTCTCGAACATTTTTCTCGAGGACAAGGCGTAATTTTCGAAAGGTCCAACGCGTTCTTCTTAATCGGGCATGCACGCAGAATTTGCACGATGAGGAATGACCGCTCTCTCTCTCGATTAAACGGCTGGAGGACGCGTCTGAAAGTCGCTCTCGAACAGACGAAAGCAAGTAGTAAAGATCAAATTGGCAACAATCGTAACCCCGGCCGCTGCTAACCGAGCCAGATAGAAAAAAAATAGTCGCACAGGAAGAGAAAAGTACGAAAGCAATTAAAAGTCGTCCCTGTGTCCACACATGCGATACGTGCAGCCTGAAGAAGCCGATCAAGTACGATCCGAGCAAGAGCGAGGCATACAAGGCCCTGCAGGAGGAGGCGCTCGGGGACTATGTGCAGGAAGTCAGGCAACCGGTTCGTACCGGCGTCTTTTCGCCGCAGAAGACCAACAAGGTGTGTACCCACATGGATAGAATTTTTCCGAAGCTGAATTTTTTCTCTTGATCGAAATTTTATTTTGTATCCTTACATACAGAAAAATACGCATTGCATTCGACTTGTTTTAAGTATTTCATATTCAGATAAACAGAGATGCTGAACACAGCATGCAAACATTTAACGTAAACTTTGTGATGCTATCGTAACAACACAACGCGTTTAAAATATGTTCGTTTTAAGAGAGAGAAACAACTCATCTATCATTCATAATCTTTATCATATTTATATTTGTTTTTCAGTGCATCCGGATGTATTGCGTTTTCTTTTCGGTAAAATAAGCAACAATTTTCCCTTAGGAAAAATTACTTTAAATTAACTTAAAGTTGCTTAAAGTTAATTAAGAGATAAGATGTTAAGAGATCAGATGACTTCTTTTACATACTTACGATTATTAAGCATATACAATATATCGAAATATGAGTACATAATAATGAGTATTTTTCTTAATTTATGATGAGTATATCTTAAGATTATTATAAAGAAAATATCCTCTGTAGTTTTAACTATTATTTAAAAGAAGAACTATTATTTAAACTAGAAGAAACTTTTAAAGAAGAACTATTATTTAAAAGAAGAAAAGCGTAAATATTTAACAATTTTGAATATATGTGTAATCGCTTTTCTTTGCAGTGGAATGATATCTTTCTACGTGTAAATTACTTCCCTCACATGGTATTAAATATATGAACTTCTTAAAGTATTACAACCTAATATCATAATATTTTTTTGGTTTACAGATATACCAGGTTCCACCGAAAAGTCCTGCATACGTAAGCAGCCGCTTTTTCTTTTCGGATTTGTGATTAATTTAAGTAACAATTTAAGGGCACACGTTACAAACCATTTTTGGCAGGCTTCGAGAATATGCATTTTCGAAACGTATCTCTCACTCGCATGTCGTCGCATGGATCTTAGGAAGAAGTTTTCGCGACAACGCAGCTGCATATTACTTTCAAAGCTGAACTTAAAATCTCTCGCATCTTGCGCGAATTTTTCGATCATATCATTTATCTCACAAGATCTCGCAGAACTCATACGAACTAAAGTGTATCGACTTTATTTAAAGGATTCTCGTTCCGATCGGGGAAAAAGAATGATTATACAGGGTGTTCCACAACTGGTAGAACACCTGTTAGGGTTAGGTAAGGGGTGCAATTTGGAACTGAAAGTTTCTCTTCCATTTTTGGATTCAACAATTAGTTAACGAGATATTAATTAAATCTGCTAATCCCTTAGCGTCCTGAGTGAGCGCTCAGGAACGTAGGACGCCGTGGGCTCCTCAAGGGCCCTGCTTGTCCGTTTTTCTTCCCTTTTTGTACACACATACTAAAATCATTTACGATACTCAACCATCGACATATAGAAAACATTCAAGTCACCCACGCATTCAAAACATATCACACATGCCTTCCTCCTCCGGCACATAAAGTGCAATCACTCCCATTCGTACTAAAAAGATTCAAATCCATGCACTCATAACCGCACACAAAAACGTCCATACACATCACCCCTACACATTGAACTTGGCACCCTCCTAGCTCCGGTCAGGCACCCATCCACACACCCACTCACTCACTCATGCATATTTATTCCTCTGTGATACAAAAAAGGGGAGAAAAACGGACAAGCAGAGCCCTTGAGGAATCCACAGCGCTCTACGGCTCTGAACGCTCACACGGGGCGCTAAGGGATTGGCAGACTTAATTAATTAATATCTCGTTAACTAATTGTCGGATCCAAAAATAGAAGAGGAACTTTCAGTTCCAAATTTCACCCCCTACCTACACTTAACGGATGTTCTACCAGTTGTGGGACACCCTGTATATACTTATATAAGATATACATGCGAATCTTGTTCATATATGGTTACATATGCAATTATGTATGGAAAGAAATGGTATTAAATAAAAAAGGGAAGAAATATTTCGATATTAACGTTCGATAAAACATCGACATCACATGCTGCCAGAAGTATAAGGAATTATTTAATTACTGTATTTGTATAACAGTATTTCTTCTCGTCGTGGAATTATAGAATTACAAAATATGGCTGTATATGAACAAAATTCACATGCGATTTTTTTTTCCTGGGGATATAATCTTAATCGTTCCTTCTTCTCACTTCTATTGTTATCTTATTATTTTTTATATTATTTATATTTTCTTGTGCAAAAGATTTATTAACTACTAGCCGGCCTGATGCGTTCTATAACGTTATCGTTTCCAAACACACGAGCTGGACGATGAAACAGCACCGAATTATATAAGCGACTTGGCACGAGGTGCTACTTCTGCACTTCTTTCTTTTTCGTCTACCGAAGTAGCTTGCCAAATCATCTCCCAGTAATAATCGACTGCTGCATTTCGCCGTCGAGAGATCGTTTATAAACTCGATACACTTACTTTTCCGATATACTTACGATAAAATTTCAATTAATACTCAAACACGCATACACATTTAGAATCTCTCTTGTCATATTCATTATTTTATATTATGTATTATACTTGTATATTTACTTTGTATAATATACTTGTATATTATATTATATACTTGTATATTTAGTGTGTTATATCGCAAAAATAACTTTAATGATTATGATGATGGGATGGTCATTTAATCGTCGCGGTCAAGAAAAAAAAACGGGAGTGATTTAATTCTCGGCCTTTGTTTCGTTAAGGGTGGATTTTATAGACGTCCCTTCCCCCTCCCTTTCGTTAAGGACCACATCAACGACTATTAAAAATTTCGCAGGAACTTGTACGTGCGTCTTCTCTTTCCAATAAGAAATTTTGCATAAGTGCTCGTATGCGTCCGCTTCCGCATAGCGAAAATATAATTCGTAGAGCAGATGCCAGATTGTTGCACGCTATACTACTCAAGCGGCCTGTTCTTTTTTCATGTAACGCGCGTTGAGAGTTGCTACGAGAACGATTGTGCATGTCGCCTCTCCCGAGACAAAAGAAAAGACACGAAACAAACCGCCTTTTCTGTGCACAAATTAAGATGTGGTTCATTTATGGTTTACCTTTGCAATTCTGCGCAGACGTGGAACGGCTGTGTGTGATTCGATTTTCAGATGAACGTGCTCGAAGACGACGGCGAGAAGATTCACCAGAGCAGCAGCTTCAAGAGGATCATGTACAGTGTGCTGGGGCAGACCGATTATTGAAGCGAACTGATGCTATAAATATACTATTTGTCTATGTTAAATAAATCTACATATATTTTATTTATTGTACGACGCAATAAACGAGAATCGCATAGAACGAATGTCGAGTGTGTCGAGGCAAAGATGTCTTTTGACGAAATCTGGCCTAGCGATTGTAGTGATTCTGCGTTTTAGAAGAGTGCTTTTATTGTCAAAACGACTCAGCATGTTAACTGACCACGCAAACTGACGATCCTCGACATTCATTGCTTACCCGATGAAAACACGCCGTGTATCTTTTAAGCATAGTATTAATATTAATACATATTAAGTACAATTACCAGAGCTTTTTCTTCCTTCTTCTCTAAAATTTAACCGTTTTCTCAAAAGCTTAGAAGTCTTCTATTGTTTTAATAGTGGGTTTAAATTGTTCATTTACTTTTCAAAATCACATGAAACTTTTTGCAGAACTTATCGCTGTTAGTACAATGTTAAATTTTTCGTCTGTATACTTTTTTAGAGACCCCTAAAACGTTTTTTATTCAATAAAATATTACTCAAGTAACTTCGTTTTTAACCCCGATTGTAGTTCCAAAAAGATTTGCGATTCTCATGAAACGTGATGAAAATGTAATGAATGTTTTTAAACGAATATTTTCATCAAACTTTATGGAGAATGAAGGATAAATCTTTTCGGAATAATCTTCAACAATAAATATCTTTAATTTGAAACTTACGTGTACTTACAAATTCATTGTTATCCAAATAACATATTTCTTTAGGATCCACCGACAAAAAGGTCAACTATAATCTATAAGAAAGAAAGAGCAAAATTAATTAATACTAAACCACATATATATATATAAAAGAATTAGTAATTTGAATAATTTACTGTGTATTGCTTTTCTTTTTTGCTTCCGAAGCTTCTTTGCCAATTTAAGATAAAACTTTCGGAGTTGGAAGCTCAATGGTCCTTCTTTGTTAAATTCTTTCTTAAAATTTAAATTTACTTTATTTAAAGTATAAGCAATCATAGATGAATAACCGTCCCAAAAAAACTCTTTTGATATAGCCGCTTTCAAGCTTTCTCTTAATCCACACAGAGGGAACTCATGAATATAGTACAGAACAGAACCAAAATTGTAGAATTGTTACCCATTCAGCACTAAATAAACTTAGACTTTCCGCATTCCACTCTTTAGTTCATGACAATACATAGTGCGCAAAGAACACTTTTACAAATCATATCTAATTTATAAGTGGATTTATATTTTAATTGTTCAACATAATAATTCGGCAATGGACGCAATTATGCAAATGGATTTGTATAATCTAATTGGTACAGAGCCCACGGCCTCTGTGTCAGAGGTAAATATTTGTATTTATTTACAAAAATAATGTTTAAGTTTTCTAGCAAAGAGAAGAAAAGAGCAAAATTTACCCTCAATCTTTTGTAATTTTAGATCAAAAAAGCATATCGCAAAAAAGCTTTAACATGCCATCCTGATAAAAATCCTAATAATCCAAGAGCAGCAGAATTATTTCATGAATTATCAAAAGCATTGGAAATATTAACCGATGAAAAAGCCCGAGTAAGTACACAGTGATTTCTTTTTGAAGTCCATTAATATTATCATCATTGAATATATTTCCCCTTCTGTGACTTTCAGAAAAAGTCTTATAATTTAATTTATTAAAATGTATTGTCATATGATAAGACAGCTTACGACCAAGTTATCGCAGCTAGAAAGCAAGCAAAGGAACGTGTCAGAGAATTTGATGCTAAGAGAAGGAAATTTAAAGAAGACTTGGAAGCACGCGAGGAGGCTTATAAGAGAACATTAGATCCTACATATAATGCTAAGTCTGATGAGGAACGCTTAAAAGTATATAGTCAAATTGCTCAATTTTACTACAACTTTCTGTGATTCTCTCTCTCTCTCTCTTTGCATTTTTATTCCATAAAATATATAATTATTCAGGCTGAAATAGAAAGATTACAAAAGGAGGGATCAAGGCAAGTAGAAGAGGAAATAGCATTTATACAAAAGCAAATTTGGGAACAGCTTCATGGTACATCAAAAGATTCAGAATCTAATGTGGGAAACTTTAGAATCAAAATCAGATGGAAGGCACAAGAAGCAGATTCACTGAATGGTGGATACAACCATGATAATCTACATAGAATGTTCTCTAAAGTAAGATCATTAATTTTTGGAGTTATCTGTGTATTATGTGTGTTAATATTTTTATTGGAATGTCTATTTATTCGTCTATTTACTCGCACTTTGGAAATAAGAACGTGTGTCGAGTATCTTAATTTTGAATTCAAACTTTGGTCTTTTACAGTATGGAGATGTGACAGCTCTTGCCGTATCGTCTTCTAAGAAAGGGAGAGCCATGATTGAATTTGAAGATAAAAGTGCCGCGGTAAGCGCGCGAATCATTGTTCGAAATTGAATCATAAAACTTTATTTGTAAAATAAAATTTATTTTTTAAAATTTCCTTTCAGGATACTGCGCTCTTAGCAGAGGTTGGTTTAGCCGAGAACCCTCTAACACTTCGTGGCTTATGGGATATTCAGAAACGTGCAAAAGGTGTCACGAATGATATGAAACCTAATATCGGGAAAGTTATATTTCCCATCAGCAATCGTTTCAGCAGTAAACCGTCTGTATCTCTTAGTTGTTCTTCAGCACCTGATATTTTCGTATGTATATTTTACATTATTTGCATTTTTATTAGTAAGTTGTACTATAGATTTCATGAGTACATCTACATGGATTATTAATATATTATCTGTATGATTCATAGTCTTTTTCACATAGACAATGTAAACTATGTAGAATATTGTAAATTAAAATACAGAAAAGACTAATTTATGAGACAGTTGCAATATCTGTTTTGGATATTATAAATGTAATGATAAAAAAAGATAAAAGATTGAAATTTGTATTTTATTATGTCAGATTTAACTTTGAAAGTAAGAATGTCAACAGATAATTCTGTGAACTCTAATTTGTTTAGGAAACATCCATAAATTTACATCAGGATCCTGAAGGTTAAATAAAAACAAACTTTTTTTCTTAATTAATTTTTGAATAAAAGTCATACATTCTTTAAACAACATTCATAAATTACTCATTGTCTATATAGATAATATCTCATAAATAGTTTACATTTTGTCTACGTATATAGATGTAGAATATCATAATTGACGCGTAAATGTCCAATTCTGGTCAATTAGAATTTAATTAAGACTATATGATTGCGTTCAGCAAACATAATGGTTGAATAATTGACTCTTGAAAGATCGATATGATCAATATATATATATATAAAAGTATATACCAATAAATATATACATAAATTTCTAAAAATATACAACAGTTATAGATAACTTTTCTTCAATAGTTATACACAGTTGTGTTTTCTGAACGCGGCCATCAATACTAATGTTATAGTAGCTACAGTCAATAGAGAAAACTACTCTGTAACTGTAACAAAATTTGTTAATATGATTGGTGTATGCTATTAGATTTAGCCAAGATTAATAATAATATACAACAATCAGACTCACGAATTATACAACAGTTGCAAAGCAATTTTTGCTGAATGCAACCAATGATCTTGTGTAACATTTTTGCACTGTATAATTATGCAGCAAGGAAGGATGTCGGACACGGAGTTTGAGAGTTCAGTACTGGCTAATCTGAGGAGAGCAGAAGAACGTAAACGGCTCATAGAGGAATTAAAAGCACAAGAAGAAATCTAATCTCAGTATTATGTCGCGCCTGAATCCATCCATGTATTTATTTCTTTTACTTAAAAAGAAATATATTAACAGTAAAAATATAATTGTTGCACGTTACCCTTAATGTTTGACCTTACTTAACTCATCGGGAGTGAAACGCAATACCGTTGAGATGGCATTTAGCATGTGCCGTTTGCTGGACACATCGTTTGTTGTTAAATAATTTATAAATACATTCTTCAGATACTCCAAATTAGCACCCTCTCTCGATTTACACGCTTCCAGTCTGTAACAAATTTTTTTTAAACAAACTATATAGATTTTTATATTCTATAAAAATATTTTTATATTCTATAAATATATATAAATATTTTTATATTCTATTAATATATAGTAAGATATGCATTAAAGAATCATCTTTAACTCTTTAAGCCAGGAATAAATTTTTTTATAATCCAAAAGAACCCTTTAATGCATCTCATTATACGATTACCTAGTGATATGTGCTTTCAATGTTTTATTTTCTTCCTGTTGCTGTTCCTTCATATGAAGCATTTCTCTCTGCTGTTCTCTCAATGTCCCTTCCAATTCCAGGGTCTTTTTCCTCAATGATGATACTTGCACTTCTTTCCTGGCCAGTTCCTGGGTATAATGCAGTATCGGAGGGCTATCATTTGTTAGTAATCCTGTTACTAAGTCAGTAACTGGTTCGACAGTGCTTTCATATCTAATTAAAGACGCTTTATTTTCTGTCGCAGCAACAGCTTCTTTATTAGGTAATAACGTACGGAATGACGTTTTCAGTGTCAATATCTCCTTATCCTTTTCTTCCACGAGAGCCATGGATCTTTCTCTTTGCCGTAACAACTGTTGTTCCAGTAAAGATATCTTGTTGCGAAATTCATTGTCTTTTTGATGTAACGTATGCTCTAGCTTTGAGCGTTCTTCTTGAAATAACTAAAAATATAATATCATTCTGAAATTATTTCGATCGCAAGATTAAAAGCGTAAGAATCTTTATAGTCATAGATTTGCAAATTGTACTATTTTGATAGTTAAATTTGATAATTAACTAAAAAGATTTTATTAGTTACTTTTTGTTGATGATCTAGTTGCATTTGCCAGTCTCTCTCTTTATTCAATATTTCCTTACTAATCATACGTATCCTTTCCTCTAAATTGCTGTTATGGACTTTGAGGAGATGCAATTGAGTTTTATCGTGATCCTTATCATGCGTTAAAGATAATCCTTGATTTTGTTGTTGAATACCGCGAAGCGTATTAGACGATACGTTATATTTGTATATCGTTTGATGCTTGTAGTCCTCAAATTCTTGCAGAAGCACGTCGTATTTCTCTTTGTAATCGGAATGTTCATCTTGCAGATCCAAACTATTTAATAACGCTAAAAAATATAGAATTGTATAATGCGTTATTCAATCTCCCTTATTCACATTTTACATTTTATCACTGTTACATTAATTTACTTTTCACATAAGCTGAGTCTTTCTTTTTGTTGTCCAGATCCAATAGCTGAGTATATAGAGTCTTTATCTTGGAGATAATTTCGTCCGGTCGATTACTCGACACTATAGTTTCGCCATGTTCAGTGTTTTGTAAAGCGGCTAATCGGTCTTTCAATTTCTGAATAGCTAATTGGTCCTGTTGTCTCAGTCTATCGTAGCCCCCGACAATCTCAGACAGCTCAGCCAATCGAGCTTCTAAGCCGGCCACCCTCGCTTCGTGTATCATTGCTAGTCCTCTCGCTTCTTGTTCCGCAGAAGCGGCTCTCTTTTGCTCCTACGTTAAAAAATACAGCTTAACTTTGTTCTATCAATGGATAATAACACGTTAAATAATTTCTGACGTTATTGTTATTGTACTTCGCGAATCGCATTCAAGTGTTGCTTCTTCATCATGACCATTTCGGCCTGCAATGAAAGAAGAAGCGGCGGCGTTTCCTTCGCCGCTTCTTCGGCCTGCTTGAGCTTGGTTTTGGTGATCTCGAGTTCAGCCTCAAGAATTTTGCATTGCGTCTTATTTGCGAGATGCGTCTTCAGTTGCGCCTCCAACTGTTCCTTATTACGTCGCTCGTCGTATAGGAGCTTTTGTAGTTCTCTACAAAAATTTTACACATCCCGATATAATTCATATAACTTTATCGCGTGTAAAAATATTTAAAAACTTTTGTCAGTAGTATAAACACCATATAATCTCAATAATCAAGTCGTCAACGTACTTTATCATTTTAAGATTATCGGCTTGTTCTTTTTCTCTCTCATGTCGTTCCATGATCAATTTACACTTCACATGTTCAATATCAGAATGATTAACACCTTGGGCCTTTTTCAATCTTTCTTTTAGGTCTTTAATTACTTTTTCACACTGCAAACAATGTTGATAAAAAGATGCAAACAATACTGATAAAAATATTTGAACATTTCTGGTAACGTAACAGTGTTGAATCTTTTTATCTTACTTCATCCCGTTCATTTCTAAGTTGCTTCTTGTCGACTTGGAAATACGCTTCCATTTTCGATTTTTCCGCCGATAGAGTAGCTAATGAGTTCATCAATATACCCAGCTGATTCTTTAATTGCTCTACTGTTTCTGTGTCTACAGGATCCGTCTGGTTTTGGCGTGACTATACAATTATAAGGTTACAAAAAATAAAAATATTAGAAATGATTATGTTTACAATGGCAGTCTGAAATTGAGTAACAATTGTAGTCACTAAAAATTGTTAATTTTTCTTCTCATATTATTGTACCTGTTGTTGATTACTAAGTGAATCATCTTTACTAGATATTTCTGCTGATGGTTTATTTATTTTGCTTGTATTTTCTGTAGAAGAATCTGTAATTTTCTTATCTAAAATAAATTCTCTTATGAAGTAAAACTTATTTAATACTTTTTTATAATAAAACTCTATATGTATATATTAAATAAATTTATTTAATAAGTATATATTAAATAAATATATATATTAAATATCTTTCTGACCTTGTTCTTCTGATCTGTTATTCTGCTTTTGCACAACTTTCTCTTCTGTGGTAGCCATTGTTGAATATTAAATATAATTACACCAACAATAACTGTTACTTCAGTAATTCAGAATAACCTGTACAGAGATATAAACAATATGTTTAAATAAAATAATAATAATGTTTATAAGTATACGTTTATAGTGTTTACATGAAATTCTCTGATATTTTCAGCTGTTTTTATTATTTAATATCATTATTCAATTTTCAGCTGCCTTTATTACTAAGTATTTAAAAGGAATAATTTATAGATATGAGGAACTAAAGCAATGATTTTTTTTTAGTCAAACCAGGATAAATAAATATATATACATAATGTATTATATTTAGCATAAGTTTATTGAGTTAATGTAATTTGTCACAATACATAAATAAATGCTTTATTTAATCAGATACTTCTTTCTTCTCAATATCATTGTTAGAAATAGACTTTGTGGAAGATTCTATTTCCAATGTGACTGGCCCATTATTCTGTATACAGACTTCCATCATTGCACCAAATTTACCATCTATATAAATTTTTGAAAATATTAAATTATTTTATTGTTATATATTTCATGAAAAATATAAGGTGACTACATATATGTTAAATTGCAATTATTTTACCTTTTACTAATTCTGCATTATATTTTTTGCGAAGCTCAGCAAGAAAATTTATATAAAATAATTCTGATTCTTGTGTAGACATTGCTCTATGAAAATCTAATTTATTTCCCTTTAAAACATGATATAGTGTAAACTGACTAATGCACAATATTTCATATTTCTTGTCCATTACACTTGCACTCCACCTTTTACCCTTCTCATTATCAAAAATTTTGGTATTCAATATCTTTCTTACTCTGTGACATATAAATTAATATTCAAATGTCTATACTTATGTAAATATATTACTTATGTGTATATATATATATATATATATATATATATATATATATATAT